TGGAGACTTTAACTTACCAGAAATCAACTGGGAAATACCCACAGGTCCAACTAAACTTGATAAGTTCTTAGGCACACTGGATATACTTGGCTGGAAGCAGACCGTCACAACCCCTACAAGAGGTAATAACGTACTAGACTTAATCTTCTGCCACAATATAAGTCCCCTTTCTACCCTAGTAGGTTCTGAGTTTTCAGGGAGTGACCACAAAACAGTGCTGTGTGCACTGCCACTTCCGTCAAGTAGCAATGCAACCCATACCCCTACTTCACAACAAATAACTTACAGGAACTACAGTAAGGCAGACTGGACTCTAGTAAAATCAATGCTAAGATCCTCAGAATGGAGTGAGTACTTCTATACTGATAGCCTCTCGAAAGCTCTAGACATCTTTTACTATAACTCCAACACATGCTTAGATGCTGTCATCCCATTTCAAACACTAAAGTTTTCCCCACATAGAAAGACATTCATAAAGCCAAAGGATCGTAGGAAACTGAAAAGACTGTCAACAAGTTACTTCAGGCGACACGACTTTAGTACACTAGGGTCAATACTTAGTACTCTTAGCTCCATCTCGCAAGCTCATAACTTGCGTATGAGAAATGAAGAATGCACGGCACTAGCCAGCACCACCAGAGTAGGTGCTCTCACAGAAATCCTAAAGAAACGAATGAATCGCCAAAGCCATAAAATTTCTCTCCATATAAACAAGGGCAAACTATACGGCAAACATGCAGACATGTGTGAACTGTTTAATGAGACGTTTGCAGCTAACTACCTTAAGCCTACAAGTCCACTTCTCGGTTTACAATCTAAAATAGAACTCCCTTCATCTTCAACGCTGAAACAAATCACTACAGTTCATTTCACTTACTCTAATATTAACCAAGCCGTTAATACTCTTAAAAACTCTAGTAGTGCCGGTTTTGACGGTATACCATCGTATCTTTATAAACACGGTGGTTCTGACATTTCCGTTTTATTACTTAAGATTTTTACAATGTCCCTAGAAAGACAAACCTATCCAGATAAATGGAAAACGACATTTATAGTACCTAAACACAAATCCGGATCAAAAACTGAAGTCAACAACTATAGGCCAATCAATATTACACCCATAGTATCTAGAATCATTGAACGAATAGTTAAAGATGATATCCTCAAACATATGCTCAGCTGCAATATTCTAAGTCCCAACCAACATGGATTCCTAAAATCCAGATCATGCATGACATGTCACGTTGACTTCTTTAACTACATAACTAGCAGCCGCGACAAACAACAACTAGTACTTGTCATCTACTTCGACATATCCAAAGCCTTTGACCGCGTTGACCACTTGCTTCTAATAAATAAGCTAAACTCCTTAGGAATAAGTAACCCATTATTAGGATGGATTGAATCATTCCTTAACAATAGGTCCCAAGTAGTTAGACTGGGTTCTGTAAACTCTAAACCTAGTCCAGTCACTTCTGGAGTAGTTCAAGGTAGCGTCTTAGGCCCCCTCCTATTCACTCTATATGTCAGCGACATATGCAGCTGTTTCTCACTAGGCAAACCATTCATCTTTGCAGATGATCTTAAAGTAGCTTACACATTCCACTGTGATGACTTAGGGTACTTTCAGAAAGCTGTTCAGGAAGAACTAGATTGAGTAACTGCATGGTCCTCCACATGGAACCTAAAATTCAACCTTAAAAAATGTGGTTGGATATGCTTCGGTGCACCCTCAATAAATATTAAACTGGTACTTGAATCCATCGACTTGCCTAAACTCCAAAGTGTTGTTGACCTAGGACTCAGGTACTCTAGTGACTTGACATTTTCCGAGCAAGTGGCGACACAGACGCGTAAATCGAGGATGCTTCTAGGATGCATACTCAGGAATTTCCACAACTACGAAGCGAAGCTATTATTATATAAAACTTGTGTCAGACCACTACTTGAATATTGTCCATTTATTCTCAGCAGCACTCGCGTAAGTGACAAACTTAAAATAGAAAGTGTCCAACGATACTTCACGTCTAAACTACTAGGATTTGACTGGGAAAAGGACTACACATCAAGGTGTATAACTCTAGGTATCGACCCACTCTGGATTAGACGACTGAGCATTAACCTAACATTCTTCTTTAAAGTCTTGCATAAAATATCATTCTCAGACAGCAAAGAGATACAGCTCTCACCGGAAGGCTCTTACAACCTTCGTAACCAAACGTGCAAAGTATCTAGGAAAAACTGTAAAATAGCACTCTGTGCAAACTTCTTCATAGTCATGTATTCTAAGATCTGGAACAGTTTACCCCAAGAAATAAGGACCTGTCACTCTATCATAACCTTCAAACGCTTGCTATATAAACTGCTTCATCCCAATGACTATGCCAATCACACCGCACCACTTATTTCCAAAACGCATGAGCTATTAGCACACTATAACGCCTAGACTCATTACTAAATATTACGACACTAAATAAACTCTAAGACTTCGCAAAATTACATAAAAAACAACAAGATTATGGGTAGTGTTTACTATACAATGATATACATTTATAAACATTTATATGTACATAAAATAATAAAGTTCTTTTCATATTTACATACTTTATCTCCCTGCTGAGCGTAAACTTCTATATACCTCCTGGTTGAGGTCGAACAACCCAACATCCAAACTGAAATGACCATTTATGTAAATTCAAACTCAAATTCCATGAACGATCCGATGCGACCACTTGAAAACGCTGGCTAACATTCTGTACAAGGAGTATTCTTGATCTGAAATAAAGAAGCAACTGGTTTTCAAACAGTTATCAATGTATTACTCAACTTACATGTACAGTCTGCCATGCTGACGCAAATGGCGCAAACGGATAGTTCTAGAATTGACCCCATTTGATGCAGTAAAACAATCTAACACTACCTTATCTAACTTTCGTATCAAAGATCAAATTTCTTTCCTATTATAAAACTACGATAAGACTGCTGACAAAAATGGAATAAATACATTATTGACTCAAAATAATACATCAATAAACTTTATCTCACGGATGCTGTTCACAACAAAGTTTTATAGGAGGATTGACTTCAAGCTTTATTTTTCCCAGATATTTGTATCACACTCATCTGAAGTCTGGGTTTTTTGTTAATGCGAAGACAATATTTCCATATCTCTTTATGTGTTACACAGACAGACTATTTTGCAGACTGTTCTGACTGACTCTAATGTTAGATTGAACAAACAAACTGTAATTTATATAATAACTTATCCATGCCTGTACAATTGGTATGTTCCTGCATAAACAGGAATAAATATATATATATAAGTACTGTCAGAAGATTAACAGGAGCCCTTACTTGCACTCACTCCTGCAGGTGAACTACCTGAAGTTGTGAATAAGTTCGTGTGTTTGGACAGTTGTGTGACTTCTGGAAGATATCTGACGGATGAGATTGCCAACCGTATCATGAAAGCTATGATGGTGTACGTCAACTTGAGCCACCTCAAGTGCCATCGCGACACCACCCTGGCTGTCAAAGGTCGGGTTTACAACATTGCTTCGGTGCGCGCAGTCTTGCCGTAAGTCTGCGAAGCCTCCGAGGTAAGGATGTGCTGCGGCTCTGCGCATTTGATCACTTCTGCCTCTATAGAATCGCTTGCCTTTGATGTCATTTTAGTGTGAGTAATTTTGGGGTCCGGCAGCATATGTTCAGACACAATAATAATCGGTTTTTATTGAGTGTCGTTATCCAGAAACACGGGCTCCGAAAGCTTCGAAATATGCAACAAATATCATCCCAGAGGTCTCGTACCAGTCTGTGAACACTATCCCTGGGACGGGATTAAGAAAGCGTAGAGCTGGTCAGCCCATGACCTAACATTGTGGGATGAATGAAGGCTATTTGTGTTAGTTTAGCATCGGTTGACACATCAGGGCTCCCCAGCTGGGGTTCAAGAGATAGTTCAAATCGATGGCTCGAGACGTTATCCCTTTCTGCGAATAATTTGACGGATCCCATTCGGTGTTGTTAAAGATAACCTCCTCCTCTCTGGGTTAAGTTTTTATTCATTCTCTACCTACTTTTTCATGTTTAGTTTTTTAAACATCTTGGTGCCTATACTGTGCCAGGTTTGTGTTTTAAGTAAATAAAATTATACCTGATGAGCTACTAATGCTTGAGGTTTGTGGAGCCGTTATGTTTCGTTTTAGCATCAGTCATATCAAACCGACACTTACCTCCGTGTAATGTAAACTTTTGAAACTACTTTAGAGGATTGATGATTTCGAACGTTCGCGAGTTGTACGGATTATACTAACGCAAGATCTTATACCAACAACCACTATAGTGTTCGTTCTTCGAGTACCAAATGGTAAAGCAAAAGACCAGATTTTGTCGTCCAAATACGATATATATTTTGGGACCAAATCGCGGGTAGGAATGAATGCTTAGCTAGCTAGTAATCGTGCACGCACGTGACACGACGGAGCACCAAATGGCGGGGATGCTTGACCGTAAGCCTTCAGCTAAACAAGTCGACTTAAACAGTGGTGGTCAGCATCCAATGTTGAGTGATGATTGCTGTGGTTAATAATTTTGGGGAATTATTTACCGCTACAGCTCACTCCCCCCCTAGTGGGTTTGTGAGGACCCTAAGACATGACCAGCCGGAAGTAAAAAAATCTCCATGGTTCCCTGATGGGTGAAAAAAATCTTCCGAGTGGCTTGATGGAGAGCCTGCTGGTCTGTCTGCCTATGCTAATAGGGTGTCTGTACATAGCTTCCTCAATGTTGTTCGTTGGATCCCGTGCTTCGTTTGTTTCCTGTCCAGTGCCCGTTGCACCTGGAAAAGAAAACAAGAATGCTGAGAACCTTGTCAAGAAAAATGTACCAAATAAGCGTTTTTTTTACCAAAAAAAATATGACATGCATCTACTATACAGTAAAATAATGTAAAGTGCAAAATATCGGGAAAAAAATATATACATCTAATTTAATTTTATGTACGGTTATAGGAAAAATATCATTTACTTGTGTTAAATGACGCAACATAAAAAAAATTGATGTGTCACTCAGTTATGTGAAATAGGTGTGAAGGTATTCTGGGAATCTAACGTGACGTCCAGAACGCGTTTTTTTAGAGTGATCGACCGAAGGTTCAGTGGCTTTCGCCGTGCTAGGGAGTTCTTCGAAGACTGAAGTAGATTCAATTACTTGTGAATTATCGGGTACGTTTAGCTCCAGGCTAATGGGATTACCTTCCAAGTAAGCTGGTTTCAGACGGTCGATACTGACGGTGTCTTCGCGGCCTTTTTTGTCTAAAACGAAGAATTTATCAGTACGTTTAATCACTTTATATGGTCCGTCATATGGGGGTTCTAGAGGACGACGTACCGAGTCGCGACGAACAAATACATGTGAAGAAGTTTTTAAACAAGGGTGAACGAAAACATCAATGGACTGTGGTCGGAGGGGAGCAGGTTTAACTGAACGCATAGCGTTTGTAAGCCTGCTGACGTATGAGGAGTGATCTACCACTGGTGGGAAGCTCGAGGGAGAAACAAACTCACCTGGCAGTCGTAGTGTTGTGCCATATACTAGCTCAGAGGTAGTACAACCAGCATCGGTTTTTAAGGCGTTTCGTATCCCTAGGAGAACTAACGGAAGGGATTCAGTCCAATGGGTGTTATTTGCAGCTGACAAACCAGCTTTCAACTGTCTGTGTAGACGTTCTACCATACCATTCGCTTGAGGATGGTAGGCTGTTGTTCGAAAACGCATGCAACCAAGGATTTTAGTCAAAGCGAAGAATAAACCGCTTTCGAATTGCCGCCCACGATCAGTTGTTATGGAAGATGGGCATCCAAAGTTTGCGATCCATCTCTCTACAAAGACGCGTGCGACAGTTTCAGCAGATATATCCTTGATGGGTACTGCTTCAGGCCATCGTGTGAAGCGATCGATGCAGGTTAACATATAGGTGTATCCATGAGATTCTGGAAGGGGGCCAACTAAATCTACATGGACGTGTTCGAAACGGGCATCAGGGATAAGAAAAGTGCCAAGAGGGCTTTTAGTGTGCCTTATTACCTTGCACTTTTGGCAAGCTAAGCACGTCTGTGCCCATTCCCTTACTTCTTTGTTAATACCAGGCCAACAAAACCGACTAGTTACGAGTTTGACAGTAGTTCGAATACCTGGATGGGATAAGCCATGCAACGTATTGAAGACGTTACGGCGATAACTTTTAGGCACGATGGGGCGAGGAGTACTAGTGGAAATGTCACACAGAATAGTATCCTTTCCTATACCTAAGGGTTTCTTGGCTAGTTGTAGAGTTGTTTTCGACAACTCACGCTGAAGCTCAATATCTTCTTTTTGAAGACGAGCCAGTTTTACAAGGTCTATGCCGTCGATTTCGGTGAAAGAACAAATACGTGACAAGGCATCTGCCACAGTGTTGTTCACTCCGGAAACATGGCGAATATCTGATGTAAACTGTGAAACGTAATCTAGTTGTCGCGATTCCCTGGGTGAATACTTATCTGAAGTTGAGTTCAGAGAGTACGTCAAAGGTTTGTGGTCAGTGAAAATGATGAATTCACGACCCTCAACTGAATGTCGAAAATGACGTAGAGCACAGTACATAGCTAGAAGTTCTCTCCCGAATGTGCTGTACTTCGTTTCAGCTACTTGAAGGCGCCTCGAGAAAAAGGCGAGTGGTTGCCACTCTCTGTTAACTAGTTGTTGCAGAACTGCGCCGATTGCAGTGTCTGATGCATCAACCGAGATACTCAACGGTGCCGTTGGATCCTGATACATAAGGAGGGTGGCATCTGCAATAGCTTTCTTTACCTGAGTAAAAGCATGTCGAGCAGACGTGTCGAGTTCGATAGCCTTGTTGTTCCCTCGAAGGAGATCGGTTAATGGCTGAATTAGCGAAGCACAATTAGGAATAAAACGTCGGTAATAACTTACCAAGCCGTTAAAAGTGCGAAGGCATTTTACTGTCTTTGGCTCCGGAAAGTTCAGTATTGCTTCGACTTTAGTAGCCAGTGGGCGTATGCCCTGGCAGTCAATAGTGTGACCCAGAAAATTGAGTGAGTCAACGCCTATCTGGCAATTCTGTATATTGATGGTAACACCATGTTGGCGTAACCTTTCAAATGCCAAGTCCAAGTGTCTAAGGTGAGTTTCCTTATCTGGACTGGAAATGAGGCAGTCGTCTAAGTATGCGTATACAAAGTCGAGACCGCGAAATACTTCGTTGATGAAGCGTTGGAATGTTTGGGCCGCATTCCGGAGGCCGAATGGCATACGTAGGAATTCAAAAAGTCCGAAAGGCGTAATGATAGCCGTTTTCGGAATATCTTCCGTTGCCATGGGGATTTGGTTATATGCTTTAACCAAGTCGATTTTGGAGAATATGGATGCTCCAGATAACGTTGCCGTCAAGTCGTGTATGTGAGGCAAAGGGTAGCAATCAGGAGTTGTTTTGGCGTTCAGTCGCCGGTAATCACCAGTGGGTCGCCAATCGTTGCTATCCTTTTTCGGTACCATATGCAACGGGGATGCCCATGGACTATTCGATGGTCGAATGATGCCTAGGGTGAGCATATGATCGAATTCGTTTCTGGCAATTCTCAGTTTATCAGGGGCCAGTCGTCGTGCTTAAGATGTCACGGGCTGTCCTGAGGTTATGATATGGTGCATAACATTGCTGGTTATGCACGGGAGATCGTTAGATGGGCAATTAAGTTCCGGATATTTGTCAACAATCGGTTGAAAAGTTGGATCGAGGATTGCTTTCATCTTAACGATTGACAAGCTGGGGCCTACGTAAGTTATGCCTTTGATAGACAAACTAGTAGTGTTGTCAATTAATCGTTTACGGCGGACGTCTACGAGCAAATCATGATGATTATGTAGGTCCGTGCCAATGATGGGCATTGTGACGTCAGCGATTAGGAAAATCCACTGAATAGGTTTGCGTAAACCTACGTTCAGATAGACGTATTTCCGACCATAGGTTGCAATTGGTTTTCCATTTGCAGCCTGTAGGTTGAAGTTAGGATCCTTCTGTCGATCTGCTGCTGTGGCAGGAAGGACGCTGACTTCGGCGCCTGTGTCGAATAGATATCTAGTCTGGCTCATTACATCATGGATGTAAAGTAAGCGGCTAGTGCCACCTGCGACGGTTGCCGCTAACGCGTGCCGGCGGGATAGTTTCCCACAGACTTGGAGGCTTTGCCGAAATCACAAGGTTTTCGACAACATTTCGCTTCCTGGCCATAGGTGTTGTGATACCAACACCAGTCAGGATTTTTGAGAGAGCGTGTGTTGGACTTAGATCGTCCACGTGCGCTTTGCTGTCGAGTGGATTTAGAACGACGGTTTGAGGAATTACTAGGCTTGTTTGACCTAAGCATCTGCTGGACGGAGTTGATTAACTCTATCATTGCAGAATCCTTCTTCGAAGTCTGTTCGGTAACAGAGTATACTTCGGTAACTGGCCGTTTCGTTATCTCTAGAATTCTATCTGCAGAGACAGCTAAATCATCTATGAGAACACCCTGAAGTGTCACAAGTACAGTCTGACCTGACTGTGGCAGTTTGGATAAAAATAGTTCTCTAAACAGTCCTTCATCGAACTGACTTTGGCCAATGATCTCTTTCATTCTTGCCAGCATGCTCACGGCTGACTGATCTCCTAACTCGATGTTACGAAATAATTCATCCAGACGTTGTCGATCTGGGAGAACGTTTCTCTTGAGGATGGATGCTTTTAGCAAATCGTACGAGTTACTTACCGACATCTGCAGAGTTACGCACTTGCTGATTTCCCGCGGTAGGGCGTGAATAACTGCAAGGAACTGTGAACGTTGATCAGTTATGCCATGTTCACAAAAATCGGACTCAGCAATCTGAAACCACGTTTCAGCATTATCTGGCCAATATGGTACTAGCTGGATTGTTTTGGCGGTTGAGCGAATCTGAATAACCTTGGGGCTAGGATCACTCATGACGAAAAGTATGCCGATAACAATATAGTACAAGAATAAACACAAAAAGGAACGAACTCACCGGGTTTATCTGCGTGTGAATTGAAGATGTAGTTCGTGGTTGGGCTCACCAGTTTAGAGAATGATGATATCGAACGTTCGCGAGTTGTACGGATTATACTAACGCAAGATCTTATACCAACAACCACTATAGTGTTCGTTCTTCGAGTACCAAATGGTAAAGCAAAAGACCAGATTTTGTCGTCCAAATACGATATATATTTTGGGACCAAATCGCGGGTAGGAATGAATGCTTAGCTAGCTAGTAATCGTGCACGCACGTGACACGACGGAGCACCAAATGGCGGGGATGCTTGACCGTAAGCCTTCAGCTAAACAAGTCGACTTAAACAGTGGTGGTCAGCATCCAATGTTGAGTGATGATTGCTGTGGTTAATAATTTTGGGGAATTATTTACCGCTACACTACGAAGTAAAAATGACAGGCAGTAAGTACAATGTGTTTCAAAATGGTGATGTAATATCTCTCTCTCTTTTCAGTATTTCAGTTATTCGAATAATTGTTCACGCTAATTTTAGTAGTAAGAGTTGAAGTGAGAGGAACTTTTAATCCAAGTTTGACTGAGCTAGGAATAGCTCTCTGAAGTATTTTTCTTGAATAGATAGTTCCTCTTTGGTAGATCTTATTGGGACAGCTTTAACTAAAAGTAGACGTAGTAGGCAAACTATGACTATCCTGGAGTCAGTGTGAGGTTCCGTATCTCCATTGCGTTTAAGAATTGAACTTTGCGTACATTTGACTTTGCCCTTCATGAGTCAGTCTGGTGAATGTTCTCGAAACCATGAGTGAACCTGTCTAATCATACATCCTATATAACTTGAATCGCAGGAAAAGTTAAATTGATATGTGCACGAAGAGGATCCGAAATTAGATAAGACGTCTTCTGAAGGATAGAACCAGATATCCAGAATGGGAAGTCTTCTTTATTGATCTTATTAAGTGTTAAGAGAGAATCTCCCTAGGAGTATTCCCCTTGAACTGTAGACAAAACAATAGTGGCACCCTAATACAATTGCCAGTTCATGTTTTCGACTGTTATGATCAGTGTTGGCCCGTATCTTTTTTCGTTTAGTATACCCCGGATGATGCAGAGTTCTTTCTTTACGCAGTCTTTGGAGCAAAATAATTGCATATCATCTCACTGGTACATAGCTAAGGGAGTTTGTATACTGGGTTTCGATCTCTAGTTTTCTTAATATGGTTCTTTCAGTGAATTAATTTTCTCTTCTCTTTAGTAAAACGTCGAGAAAGTGCAGAGTCATTATGCTTTCCTTCGTAAGCGAAACGCACCACCCTAATTCAGTCTGGATCACTTCACTATAATATCAAGCAGCCGGAAATAAAGGAATCGCAGCACTCGACCTCGCAAAAGAAATGAGACATCAATCTCTGCAAAAAGGTGAACTCACTTGCCCAAGGGCCTGGGAAGATAAGCACCTGGATTGTTATTTTTATGTTCTTATTTAAGTACAAGTTCTTAAGGCTTACAATAATAGGTTAATGATGATACTATCTGAGACTGTTTTCTTAGATTGAGAGACTGCCAGTGATGTATTGGGTGATGATTGGATTTAAAACGAAAATCTGCCTTGTAGCAGGATCCGAAGCCTCTGGGTTACATTACTCACTTCAGCTGGTAGACTACTCGTCTGGTAAATCGGAGATTTCTGATGCG